GGGGGTTTTTTCCCCCCCCCCCCCCCCCCCCGGCATCAGAGCCTACCCGGGATTTGCAAGGGGGGGGCGGTGCAGTCCCACCACCCCCTGCAGACTGGGCTGCATCCCCAGCCAGGCTTCCCCTCCCTCACCACCCACTTGTCAGCCAGCCCTCACTGCTCCAACTAGGGAGCAGAGGGGCAGGGCCAGCCCTGCTCTCTGGAGCACACAGCACAGCCCTGCCCAGGGCTGCAAAACATTCTGGGATGCTGGAGGACTGTATTTTAACTTGAACCAGGAAGGGGTCTGGGACAGGAGTCTCATACACTAGCTTGACTCAAATCAGTTAAGTCTGATACTACATTCAGCCAGGTTTCAGCCATTTTGAAACTGGTTTATGTGCACTGACCTTCTGTTCTGTTATAGGCTTCTGATTGCTTAAACTGGTTTATGTGCAACTTTTGTCCCTAGCCCAAAGGGTTACATGTTCAGATGAGAACTTTCTGCAGAGCTCATTCCTTAAATTGAGAATAAAGGGCTGTATCTTCATCCCAGTAGTCTCCCAAAGCACTGCCAGCCTTCACAGAGCGCCATGTTGTGCCTCCTGCCAGTTGCCCTAAGTGCATTTTCATAAGAGCTGGTTATGTTCTGGACCAGATCTTCAGAGGTCACTGGAAGGCATGTGTGAGTGCAGAACAGGCAGCTGCACTTGGTTTGTGCCTCTGTTCAAAGCCTGGAGGTTTATGGAACAGTCAGTTCAGGGGAGTGACTTGTTCACCAAGTCCACTGGGGGAAGGACAAGAGGAAATCAGCTTAATGTGCAGCAAAGAAGATTTAGGTTTAGTATCAAGAAAAAGTTTTTACTGCAAGCAGGGTATTTAAGCACTGGAGCAGGCACCCCTGAAATAGTGTGAAATTTCTTTCCTTGGAAGCTTTTTAAGGGCTGGTTGGATAAATAACCGATGGGCCTGGCCCTGGTATACCTGATCTGGACTCCGTGCTGGTGCAGGGAACAAATGACACTCAAGCTTAGTCCCAGCCCAGCATTTTCTGTCATCATCCCATGATTCTGTTTGCCTGCATGGACCCATTTTACAGAAGGGACTTCAAACAAGTGTCAGGAGTCTTACCACCTTTACCTAAGAAGGTCCTGATGCAAAGCTAGGGCGCAATACAACAGGTACATATAAAAAAGCATAACTGAGTCCACCTTCCAGTAGCCCTGAGACGAAGCAGCCTGGGAAATCTACAGCTCAGCAATCTGCATTTCAAGGAAACATTTCCCTCTGCTAACCAGTCAACCACCAGACAACCACATACAGCACGGGATTTCCCAAAAGGTCATCCCAGAGCCCAATTTGTGTATGCCACACACAGTTTCCCAGGATCACAGCACAAGTGGCAATGCGTAAAGGAAACTTTTAACCATTTTAAATAAGTCCTATTCTTTTATTGTTGTTTATGGGGACTTTGGAGAACTCTGCTCAGCAGCTCACAGTCAGTAGCCCTGAGATTTAAACTCCCAGTAGCTGCAGGCTCAGTAGATTCAGCAAGTTCTCACCCCCAAAGTTTGTTCCATCCCTGAGCCTGTGGCAGTCTGTTATTATACACATGCATATGTAGTATGCCTAGATATGGCCTTTACAGAGAGAATTTGTAAATCTGTAGTGTGATATAGTTATCTATATTGTACCATATTACTATAGGGTTTATTCTATATTTTAAGTTAGCATTTACACAGATGCTTTCCAGGAGGGACCATCTATAGCTGGGTAGGTATAGGGTGTGTTGCATTGTTAATAGGTCTGTGGTTTCAAGGAAGTTATTTGGTAGCAAGCATTTAGCCACTGAATCTGCATGGCTATGACTTGTGCACTGCAATTGGCTTTGTGTATGCAGTTCTTAATGGGTGAGGTGCCATCTGTTTACCCAGACTGCCACCTGTTAATAGCTTTATTGGTAAATTGTCCGAAACAAATCCCTAGGGATGAATGAAATTCACTGGAGATGAGTGAGTTGTGTCAGAATGAGTTTGGCTGTCAAGATCTATTTTTCTCACTTATGCTGGTTTTACATTGGTATAATTCATGGGCTTCAGACGTTACTCTGGATTTACATCAGTCTAAGTCAGAGACCTAGACCAGTTACATTTAAACAACTGGCTGAAGTAGTTTTTTTCTGAATTCCTTTGATTTATTGTATATGTTGAGACTGATAGATTATCTGGAATCTGGTTTATGTGTGGATGTATATATATTAAATCTAGAACTAGAAATGCACCCTTAGCTTATATGGTGAGCATATATGCTATAGGTATAGTTAAATACTACTAAGAGTAAACTCTGAATTTGAAACTGAAGTCTGTCCTTTCAACTCTTCCTCCCCCCACCATCACACATACTGATGTATTTTACGGCTGTCGGTTGCTGGTGCATGTTGGTATGTCATTCTTTTTTTTTTTTAAATACAGATATACTTTGAAAAATGACTACTATGTTTATTTTCCTTCTGGACCAAATACATTCCTGGTGTAACTTTTAACCACACCGGAGTTGGATCAGGTGTGACTTGGCTTTGCAGTGGCTTCCAAATCAAATGTACTTAATTTACCAGTAAAAAAATGGAAGAAGAAAAATATAAAGTGTGAGCTTCTCATTTATAATGCTATAACTTTGTACTGAAATAATCTCAGCCTCCAGAACCACTGACCACAAGTAGATATCTGCACTAGCGTCGCAGAGAGAACAGGAGCAAGCAGGAACCTGGGATATTAGCAAAGGCAGAGGTGTGAGGAGTTGTGTAAAAATAGTCTATAAATAACCATTCAAGTAAGATGGTTTTTCCATGTGCACAGTGCCTAGTCCAGCAGGACTCCAACCCTGACTGAAGGCTTTGGGTATTATCATCAGATAAACATCGAATGCTAATAACAATTAGAAAAGAAAGATGGGGTAGATACGAGGTTTTCCATGTTAGACTGTCATTCTCAAAAGCTCATTATGTCTTCTCAGACGCTCTAATGCACCCACCCATAAAATGACAACGTTTCTGTACTTGTACTTTGCTGATTGGATGGTTCTCAGTTTGGAAATGGAGTGTGAGGTACTAACGGAAAATTTTTTTTTTTAACAGGAAGAAGACTTCGAGGAAAAGCCTTCTACAACGTCAATGGTAAAGTGTACTGTGAAGAAGACTTCCTAGTAAGTAAGGTTTCAAGCACTGTTGCTGTTTGTTTATGAACTGAACGTGTTTCTCTTATGCTGGCTGATAAGCAGGGTGAGGTTGATTCACCTTGGGGCCAGTTTCTGCTCCTACTGAAATCAGTGGGAGTTCTGCCATTGGTTTCAGTGGGACATGATTGGCCCCTTACTCTGAAGTGGTAGCCATGAAAGCAAGCATCTAACTGCTCGCAAGCAGTCTCAAGTGTTCATTCTGAGAACAAACACTGGAGCTGTTCAGATTTTGAGTTCGAATTGCAGCTACAAACTTGCCAAGCCTGAATACAAACTCAAACATCTGGAGAATACCAATCATAACTAGAAGGGAGACTTGTTTGACTGTAGCATGTCATGGCTGCGTAGAACGTTGCATAGTTTTAATCATAACTGCGACAAACAGTGTGGAGCTGCATTGCGATTAGCTGAAAGCCGAGGAGCTAATTTTCTCTCACTTTTTTACAAGCATTGTACAGCATTAGTGGCTGAGCCACAAAAAATGGAGCATGCTGCTGAGCTGTTTTTCCAAAATGAAAATGTTCTTGCTGTTAAAAGAGAGAATTCTAGTACTAATTCACACACAAAGGGAATGAACTGATAGTGACAAGCTACATGTAATCACAGTTATAACAGGACAGCATGTTTTGAAACTAAAATTGGAGAGGACTGCAAAATGTTAGACTATGGGATGACAAGTTAAGGAATCGGTATGTTGGATTGACAATATCTGGTTCCTGATTTATTGAAATAGCATCCTTTTGCAGGCTCAAGGGCTGAAGATACATGTGTAATGAGTAGATTGAATGTATTAGTATCTTTTCAACAAAAACCTGCACCAAAAGCTTTTTAACAAGTAGTTTAGGCTGGTCAGATTTATTTCTCATCACAGCAATGCATTGAAGTTTAAAAAATCTCTACGATAGTTGTATCAGGCCTCTCCATGTGTCAGTGAACTCGCACACTTCCATCCTACATCACCACAAGTAAAGCCAGCCAGCAAGAAACAGGTATAATTAAAAAAAAATATAGAAATGTGTTAATTTGAAATTCATTACATTTTGGTTTTGTTTGTTTTTTTTTATTTTGGTGGGGAGAAAATTCCATTCCTTCTTCCTGTCATTTCCACCATTTTCCAAGAGAGGAATTTTCCCCAACACAAGGACACAAAATATTTCAGTACCTTTTACAAATATTTTGAAGAAGTACCAAATATGTTTTTGTTTTGAATAAGAAAGTTTTTGAGGAATTGAGTTACTTTTTGCAAAACATTGAAATTCAATCAAAATGCTACTTTTCATTCACTTTTCTGTTTTGGGCTGAGAATGTTAGCCAGCTACAGTCTCAGCCCCCAATTCCACCCAGATTCACTTCTCCTATAGTCCAAACATTTACTTATCCAGACTCAGACACGTACTTTATTCTGACTTTGTAATTTTCTTTTTTAAGATGGCACATTTTTTATCATTACCGATCAGGCCAAACCTGAAATCTTTTAGTATAAAAAACAAAGGAAAAAGCGCTTTTCATTTGAAAAACTTGAAGTTTCTAGCAGCAGTAGTCACTTCTAGTCTTGTTTCTTTTTTCCCAGCAAATTGCAATTTTCCAGTAAAAAATAAAAAAGTTGGCTTAGCTATACTGAGCTCTGCCTGTTCCATCAACCATTCGCCCCTCACCATGTCCCAAGAACCAATTCAAAGAGGGGGAAGCTTGGTAGGAGGTGGGTTGGGGATCAACTTCCTGCAACCATCAAGCTGTAGCCTACTCAAGGCTACTAAGTTATCAGCTCTGCTGACCCTTAATGGATCTGTAGGAGTCTCAGGAGAGAAAAGGGAGGCAGATTAAGAGCCTTGCCAAAGAGCTCCGGAGGCAGCAGAAGGAATGGCACTCTGAACCTGTCACTGCCTGTGCTGTAAACCTGTTGCTTCACAGAGTGTGCATCCTCCCTCGGCTTCCCTTGGCACAAATCACAACAGGAATGCAAGGAATTGCCCTACTTTCTCTGTGAAAAGGCCTAACCTCGTTGTGTGGTTTAGTCTAGAATTGCCTAGGTCTGAAGCTATGTATTACAGCGCAGACATTAGCCAGAGGCAGGCAAAGGAAAGGGGAGCCTTCAAGTCTGTTTGCAAAAAGGGTCATTTTAAATGCTGCAGACTTTTAAACCATTGAACAGATTTACTCCTAACTGCTTTGAAAACTCTAAGAATATGAGCCCGAGTCTGGCACTGATGCACAGTGCTTTTATACTTAACTCAGAGATGTAATCTCCACAGTAAATGTCAGTCTCATAGCAGCCTTAACTATGGGTTCCTTCCTCCTACCTCCAGAAGAGTGATTTTAGAGCACTTAGGGAAAGGGCAAACCCTGCATGGTGAGGTGATTTGCTCCACTTCCCTCCCAGCGTGCGATTCTTTGGCCCTGTCTGGGTGTTGATGGGCCAGGGGAGGGGCCTTCCATCATCCTGCTGAAATCAGCTGTCAAATTTGGAATAACCAAATAACTGGGAGCCATTTTGAGATTTACTGCTAAAGTATTTTAGATTCCAGGGGCACCCTTTGCCCTGTTCAGCATGGGAAACCCAGCCTAGGAGGCAGGTGGTGTAGCCCCAGAGGTTGTGTTGACTAATAGCTGTCCTGCAGCAACTGCGTACAGGCTGCCTCAGCCCAGCATCCTGGCCCTGCCTTAAGCTTTCTGCACGGGGGTTTTCTCCCTTAAATGCTGTGAGACCCAGAGCTGCAGATCTAGCCAAAGTCTGTCCCCAGTCCTGTGTTATAAATAGATGTTTAAAAGGAGATTATTTTAGGTTGCCTGAGACGGGGAGAGCAAACAAAGAGCCTATATTACAATTCTAACCAAGGCAGCCAAATGTTGTCTGCCACGAGCATCCACTCTCAACCCCGCTTTTGTTTGCAGCCTGAACAGCACCACAGGATGATGCAGTACAAGGCAGTCCTCTTGCAGCTTCCTCCAGCTGCAACCTTGCAGTTCTGTAATCACATCGTCCCGATACACTACAAACTGAACGTCTTGTAGGGCACAGGTACTGCAGCTGCAGCAATCAAGGCAGGGGTGGGGTCTGAAAAGCACCTGCTGTTCTGGGCCCAGTAAAATTCACATAGTAATAGCTGAACCTGGCATCGTGCAGCCTGCACAGGGACAGCAGCATAGTATTGCCATTGTCTCCCAGAGACAGATGCGGCATGTCAATACTTCATTGCCCGCAGTCCCTCAGAAGTAGCAGTGGTATAAATGACCCTTTCCTTTGGCCTCTCAGCAAGAGATACAATGATGGGAAGCAGCTGACATACAAATATAATGCAAATTAGGGTCAAGGGTTGAAGTGATTTAAGCCTCATTGCCACCTGGAGAAGAACCCATCACAGTTCTATCCTGAGCATGGGGGGAGGGCAGGGGTAGCAGAGGGGGTTGTAATTCCTGTGCAGCTTTCCCTGTCTCTTGTCACCTCCTCCACACACCGTTTCAGCAGCTGCAGATGATGCCTCCTCTTCTTTTTGTCCCATACTGTGGAGATCTTTTGAGGCAATAAACCCTGAGTAAGAGGTTATTAAGAAACAGTGCCCCTCTTGGTAGCCACAGCAAATAGCAAATGAAAAATGAGATTTCAAGGTGTTGGAACAGTTCTTACGGCAATCCTCCCAAGTCAGACACCCTCTGGGAAAGGTTAGTTGTAGTCTGCTATTTTGTAATAATCTTTAGAAAACTAAAGTAACTGGAACAGCGTGGATGCTGCCATGGTGCTGCTCACCTCACGTACTTGGCTCTGTGTTCTTTAAGTAGAGCAGCATCTCTAGAAGCAGAGAGTTCTCAGACTCTGTGGCTTGCACAAACCGGCCACTTGAACTTACTCAGTTCCTTATCCCTCCTTCAGCAGAGACAGCTGAGCCTTTTGGTTCTCCAAAGCTAATAAATAGAGTTTATTGCAACTTTGTGGATTATGAAGATGAGACCATAAATACTGACGTTCTCTCTGATCCGTGTGAGCATTGGGAACTTCTCGTCAGGGCTGGGCAAGCAGCTCCTGCATTCTCAGTCTGGCATTTCCAGTGCTGTTGTGCACTATGACGTGCCAACACTCTGGGTATCTGCCTTGAAATCCCAGAGGCAGCTGCACTTCAGGGCTGCAGTGATCCTTGGGCCTGTTCTCAGAGGAGCTTGGCACCTATGGAAGCAGCAAATAAATGGCCATGTTTTCAGAAGAGTTCGGCATGGTGGCTGCTAAGCTTCTCTGAACATCTGTCCAAGAAGCATTGCAGTGGGAGTGGCTCATAGTTGAACATTTGAAAATCTGGCCCTGAGCTGTTCCGAAAAGCCAGCTGATAGTGCGCAAAGCATGTTGTAGAAATGTAGACATTAATTATTAGAGCCATTTTGAGCAGACTCTGCTGCACAGCCAAACAGAAGCCAGGGCCTAGGTACACCCAGCTTAAAATTTAGCAAAGCACGTTCTTCTAATAAATAGTTTCTCCACATGTTTGGTCAGAGCGAAGTCCTGGATTATTTTTCTCTGAATTGGAAATTGCTATTTTGCTCATTCCTTCCATTGAAGAAGCGCTAGAAGCCACCATTGCCCACAGTGGGTGGACTTGCTGATTAGGCAGAGAGGAGGTGAGGGGTTAAATAGAACATGGATGAATGACATGGGGAACAATAATGTTAGAGCAGGTAATGTGTCCTGTGCCAAGCCTAGGACTGGCAAACCCTACCAAATGCCTCATTCTGCTTCTGAGCGCACAGCTCTTCACTGCAAACCTGCCTCGCGCTGCCTCGGTGAAAGCTTAAGCCTGTATCATCTTGGTTAAATTCAGTAAATGAATTGGATGAAAAATGTATATGCTTCTGCTTCCTCAGAAGGTGTTCTAGAGACAAACTAATCTCCAGTTTCCAGTGGAAGCACTATAATATAAATGCAAGGTGCTTTTTACTGTAAATTCACAATTTTTTTAACTTTCTTTTATATTGATTTTCCT